TTTATGTTATTGTGGTTCATGAATAAAATTAAATTTCACTCGTAATTGGGAAAATGTGAATAAGAGAAACACAGTGAGAATGTGGAGAAATGAGTTTGCAGAATGAATTTTCCCATTCCGTAAGCACCGGCGAATTCATGTCAATGTCATTCACATACATTGATGGGCATCGATTATTATACTTGCACATGTGTAAGGGAACGTGTCTCAAGAGAACTCAAAGCGACAGAGTTCATTTTAAGGAAATATCTTGTAGTTTCCTCATGCTTCACATGGCATTTCTAGATTCCTACCTCCGAGTCAGAGGCGTGATTTCTTTCAAAGCTACTACTCTCCTTGAGTGAGTTAGAGCCAGATCAGCTTTTATTGCTTTAGCACGGAGAAACTTTGCTGTTTGGTTCTGAACGACCTGTAATATATACAAATTACAAGTTGGAGTGTAAGAGGCAAACTACAGTTGCAGCAGATATCAGAATTCAAATATCACTTGTTCTTCCGTAAACCCTGCCACCCATCATGCCATTACATTTTTGCTCATTAGTTTCTACCGCCTACCTACTTTCACCGCTGCACAGGAGTAACTAAGCCGGTCAAGTACGAATAATTCGGAAAGTGAACAGCCACACAAGAATTAAGAGGGTTGCAATTACATCCAGCAAAGCATCGAAGCAGATTTCTTGCGGTATATACTTCGCACCTGATTAGAGAGAATTTTAATTGGGTTGGGAGGTATCTAATGTTCCACAAGATCGTTTCTGGGAGAGGGAAAATCAGAGCGGCGGAATTTACGGCTACAAGAAGCTGGTTTCGACCTTGGAAGGAGGAGGAGCAGGGGAAGAAGAAAGCTGAAAACATTTCGTTGTGTACAACTTCCTAAAAGTTCCTGCAGTTCGTTTCGAAGAGCATTTGTTGCGCGGGCGACCAACGTCGCACCCACGCCTTCCACTCCGCCTTCCGTTCCTCCCAGTGCTACGCCCCCTTCGCCGCAGTCGCATCGTAATCGCTCCGGCCTCGGCGGATGACGTCACCGCCCACTCGGGCTCGCCTCCCACCGCCACCGCAGCGGATTCCACGGTTCCCCGCCGCGCCACGCCGTTGCGCCTCGCTCGCTTCCACGAAGGCGACCTTAGCCACGGCGCGGCCCGACATGAAAGCCGCTCTATAAAGAGCCCTGCCCGCTGGCCACTGCAGTTGATGTAGATAGCCTTCCTGGGAGCGCTGACGGCGGGAGGAGGGGTCAGCTCGCTTCCTTCAATACAAAAGAAGCTTTGCGAACTTGCTACTCATGTCGGAATTCGCGTGTTTTTGATTGGGAAGTACGCTCTCCATCCGCCTTGAAGTTATTACAATCAACTCTCTATTTCAAAGTTTCAATAATTAGTAATTTATAATTGATTATAGATAATCGTTTCTTCCGTATTCATCTTTCACATTTCCTTAACAGTTAAATGCTGAAATGTTTTTGTTTGTGGGATAAAAACTGATTTTGTGCGAATTTCGTGATGTATTCCTGAAACTTATTGAAATTTATTTACCTTGCCTATTTGTGGTTTTTATATTACTTATTCTTACTTTATAAATATTTCTTGATTGATCAAGTTTACCAAATTACTAATTTTGTATTGAATTCATGACAGATTGATTCTTTGAAAGATTCAATGAAAATTAATGTCTGGTAATAGGAACACTTTTCTTTCGTGGACAAGAAATAAACTTATTTTTCCTTTCTGCTTCAAAACGCAAGCAAATCAGTTGTATTTTATATCTTTATGGAACAAAGAAAATTTGAAAAATAAGTTGCTATCTTTGGTTATGTAAATATGCGCATTGAGAGGGGAATCATACACGTTAAAGTGAAATAAGCATTAAGCAACTCAAATCATTGACAAATCAAAGCAAAAGCTTAGCTAGCTATGAATAAACAAAAATGAAATCACGGAACTTAACCGGGGATATCCCACTGAAGAGTCTTTAAACCTTTAATAGAGTACTCTTTCAAAAACTGATTTTCTTGCTTGATTAAATAAATATTACAATGTTAGTTTTGATTTATTAAATAAAGTTGTAGCTTACAATTTTTCTCAAATCTTACAAGTATACTGCTTTGGATAATGATAGTTTAAAAAGAAATACATCTTTATGATTGCACCATAAGACATTTTTGATTATGTATGTGTACTCTGATTCAGAAAGAGTATGACTAATTCTCTATTTGGGGCTATTACACTGAACTCCGATTACATAACTTATGAAACACTCTTCAGGAATGTAATTACAGTAATCTTCTGCTTTTTGATTAACATTATCTTTGATGGAGGGGAAAAAACGACAAGAATATAGTAGTCAAATACACACTATTGTATCAGCGTCAATGAAAGCTTTCATTTTGACTTAAAAGAATTGTACTCTGAATTTTCGAAATACCAGATAAGCCAATGACTCTCTTTCACGGTACACAATCAGAATGAGATTTATGACGCCTAAATTTCAGTTCTTACTACTACTACTACATGGATTGTCCAACATTTCGCCACTTTCGTGTCGAGTTGGAAATGTGAAGCTTAAAGAACATTTAACTTTTTTAAATGCACGCATAATGACAACAAATTGCTAATTTCTTACTCTAAGTAAATGCGATATACTGTGTATCTCTAGAGATTATAAGTCAAGGCTGCATGACTTTCTCTGTAAGACAACTTTTCTGCAATGTGGAGAGCATTTGTTAAACAAATGTGGCTTTATCAGCTAAGCAAAAAGAAATTTCGATCTTATGAAGGAAAATAAATATAGCTCACACTGTTACTGTCTATTTGTACGTTATTACCGAACAAAATTTGTATCAGGGGGGACTTCAAAAACCCACACTCAGAATATTTTAGTAGTCATTGTCTTTGGTGAATTGTCAATTTTGAAATTTCACGTGTCGTATTATGTTACTGTAATATTTTTCCTGAACATTTTCTATTATGGAAACAATTTGCAAAACAATCTTTTAGGGTTATCAGGTATTGATCCATTTCTCACCGTGCATATTTTTACCGAATAACCGTCTCAAAATTGGACATCTGACCAGACTGTTTGTTCTTGAAAGGAGTTCACGAGTGCGTTTTGAAGGACAATTGAGAAGGCGATGCTAATTACAGAAATTGGTTTATGAGCGCACAAGGAATCGTAGTACAGTTAGTAAACAGAACTCTCTTAGCACGCAAACGAGATGGCAGAAAATTGAAAACATAAAAATCAGGCAGCAGATGATGAATATATCAACTAGAATGTGAAGCTATAAATATTAGGATTTCTTAAAAATAACTAGGCGAAAGGCGAACAGTAGTTTTGCTGCCGTTAGCGTTGTATCAGAAACGGCAGACGCCAGAATGGACATTACAAAGGATTCTTGAAATAAAATGAAGATGTAACAAATGACATTTCCAATTTGCTATTCTACTGGTGAAAATAAACAATTTGCGTTAATGCAGTTTTTATAATGGTCGAGAAACATCTGCAGTTTTGTGTTGAATATTTTCAATTTAATGTGCATTTTTGAACTCCTAATATGTAGTTATTTAATTTTTAAAATATGATTTTAATAATGACAATATGGGGCTCTCTTAGGTTTCCACGTCAAAATATTTTTCCTCTAATTCGGAATGCAAGGAGAGTAATGCGTATGTCATGTTTATTTTCTTTTATCGGTTGCCAAAGCAACTGTAATATTTATTAATTAATTATTATTAATATTGTCAAAGAACATTCTGAAATCAACCTTACTTATGCGGCTTTATTGTTTTTGAAATAAATTTTCTTAATTAGAAAATCCGGATCTCGCTTTTCGTGATGATGCCTACAATATTTATTTAGAACTGTCTGATATTCACGTATTGAGTATATACACTCTACAGTTTGGTTTTGTCAAAGAGCGATAAAAATCAAGATCAAGAACGCAATTCATCCGTGTGCTATAATACTGCTTAAAAAAGCTCTCAATATGAGCACACTAACTGAACTTAAGTGCACTGTGTGGATAGGTTGTTTCTAGCTGATGGGTGTAAATTGGTTGTAAATTTAAAAATTGTTTTGTAAATTAAATGATAATTTTGAAGTTAAAAAAGGTCTTATTGAAACATTGAACAGCAACAATACGGTGCATTTAATCTTCAAGTCATGGCAGCAACTCTTACATAGCTACTACGTTTGTGCTTGGCCATAAGCACTCAATTAGCGTTCTTCCGAACATTTTAGATCTTACAGAACCTTGGTCATATTGGAGGGAAATGAAGATAATAGTCCCCTTGTAGTTTACATCCGCAATATACTTTCTCATTCCTCAGTCAATGCTGGGTCTGGTTCAATCATCTAGGACCGCCCGGGTTATCCTGATAGTGAATTTTTAAAATATTATTTTCGACGCATTTGTACTCGTATGTTTACCGAGGTATCGGCTTAGGTGGCTTAGGACATCAGATGATGTCACTGCAGTGCCTCTGACCGGATGGTAAGAGACCTAGGGCAAGAGTCCGATAGTGACAGGATTTTCGAACTAGCTAGACAGTTAGGTTGAATTCAGCCGCTGTCTGGAAGAGAATTCTAGCGGCCGGTTGCTCTCATCTGTAGTTTTCCATGGTTTCTCCGAGCAACACCAGATGGAGCAGTAACAAACAGACCACGGATCACGCGCGATCTTTCCTTCCTCTTCCCAGTCCTATCCTCCTAGGGAGCTGAGAGCTTGTCCTGACAAGGGCGATGACCGTTTGTGGGAAATACTTGTTGGAGAAATCCCCACCAACCTATGGATAGGTCGGAGCCGGATGTCGCTATCCACCAGAGGAAGGTCAGATCGTTAGCTCCCGCGATTAATCTATACTTACGGGGCTAACGACCTTAACCGAAGACGCACCCGGAAACACCAATCAATCAATTAATCAATCTTACAGAGGCTTGTTTCCAACTCTTAGTCCGTTCCTGCGAACGCTGTGTAAACACCGCGCGTGTTTCCGTTGCAGCCCTGAAGGGTCTGGGCTCGAAGGCGGAGCAGCTGCTGGAGAAGAAGAAGACGGACGTGGAGCAGCTGGCGGAGCAGAAGAAGCAGGCGGCGAGCTCGCTGCTGGAGGAGCAGGCCAAGAAGACGGGCGACCTGCTGTGGCAGACCAAGAGCGACGTGGAGAAGGCAGCGCTCGACACCGCCACCGACTCCAAGAAGGCCGCCATCGACGCCTTCGACGCCGAAGTGGGCAAGGCCGAGCAAGCGGTAAGCATCTGCCTCCTCCCCCCTCTTCACCAACAAGTACCCCCCCACACACACACACAGAATACGGGAACTCTGAGTACAGATGAACGAATACTTAATATCTTGTCATTGTTGCCCAAGAAAACCAGACTCATTTCAAAAACGCTGATTTAGTTAAATGAAGAAATACGAGTTTGTTTCGGAAATAATATATTTTTGCTAGTAAAAAAAGCCATAACGTTAGTTTACAGGACATCCAGTACACAGAGTATAAGAGTTTGTCTTATGCACAAAGTAACTGTTTCAGATTAAAATCACTCCGCAAAATGACAATTTTTGAGAGTCGCGTTTCATGTGCGCAGATGATTTCTCATATCCATTTCGGAGCATAAAATGCTCTGGAAAAGCAAACATCCTTTATATTAATGATAATAAATTTAGACAATATTGTCTTAGTAAAATATCTGTTGTCACGAAATAACCGTGAAGGAACTTGTCTAGTTCTATCATTGATATCCAGTGATGAAAACGTGACAATACACAATGATAATTTGGCAATAATTGTATCTAAAAATTCATATGTTAATGTTAGTATTTTATTATCATTAGAAGATATTATATTATTGTTATTTAAAATATTATATACATTACGAAGTAAAAGAGGTTCTTTCTACGTATTACATACGAGCCTTGTTACCATAAAACATTGTAGGCTTAGCGTACAATAAAATGTAACACTAAGTTAAAGAAAGTTATTTTGTTATATTATGCTCTAGTGAACTACGTTGTATCATTGAACTTTCAGGGTTTCATAACAGCTTAAGAAATTACGGAGGGAAGAAGCGACGGAGACTCATAAATCGCTATCCCGTGTTAAAATACATTCAAAAATTGTGTTTCGACTACGTCATCCAGGTGTTTTTTACTTCCTCGCAATACTAGTTATGTCGAATAGAGAAAATACTGCAATACTACGGAGGAAGACGGTAATTCTGACATAAAGTAATGACTCGTGTTGTGGGTTCCAGATACAGAAAAAGTGTATAACTTTTGTTCCTATGTGAAGTGAATTACATTCTCTATCATGCTGTGTATTCAGAATCGATGATATACAAATTTTACGGCAAAAAGTCTTAGTCTTTCTCTCGTCATCGCTAGAACATAAACCGTCCAGACGATTTTCTCCAAACTTGATATTCCCCGATTGATTTGACAGAACGCAAGGTCCTCCAAATTTGAAATGGTTATTTTAATTAATGGGGTACTTTAATTGGATCCTCAACGATATTTCAAAATGTTATTAAAAATTGCTTCAATTTTTTCTTTATTTTTTTCCTCAGACAGAGCAATACGTTAAAAAATAAAAAGGACACAAGTCACATTTTTGTTGAACTTTCCGAATTTGTGAAAATGATTTAAGTTACACATTTTTTCGGCGTCTTTCTACAACTAAAATATTGAAAATAAATATTTTTCTTGAATCAAATCTGCTCCTCCAAAACTTTAAAATGTCTCATTTATAGACATATGAGCATTCGTATAATTTTGCCTGAAGTATAAGCAATTTAAAAATCTCAAAACACAGCCTCAAAAACCAAAAAAACAACATTTTCTTGACCAGAGCAAAGGGTGCTTATAAAAACGGAGCAGGTCCCATTTTCGGTGAACTGTGTTTTCTAACATTTCAAAAGTTCGAAACATGAAATCGCTAATAAACAGCCTCGAATACGGTCACAGAAATGTTAATCTGAAAGTTTTTTGAACAGTTGTTTTCTTCATAAAAACAAATAAAAAAATCCGGAATGTCTAACATATGCACAATATGTCAAGAAGTTCATCTCTGTATTTTGACCGAAGATAACATTCCTCTGTTCGCGTAGCTTGCCAACTTCTATCATATGTGATGACAAAACTGTTTCAAGGGTCGTCACTTGAGGATGAAGATGCCGGATGTCGATCATTCCAGAGCAATATGATGATGAAGATAAGGTTTGACAATTTTAAGCAAGCCACCAGTTTCTCGTTCTTCTTAAATAATATATCCAATACACGTAATTTATTGACCATTATAAAATGATTAGATTCTACAGATGCTCATTTACACGACGGACGTTCATTTAGCCTATATGTCGAAAATTAGTTTCAGTGAAAGAAAATCACCTTACTTAAATTTCTTAATTATTGATACAAATTCATTACAATTAATAATACTGTATTCGGAAATAGTTAAATGATAATTTCGGAAATTAATGGGAGTTCTACTTAATGATCTATGTAAACATATACATACAAAAGTGACCGCAGTCGGCGTCTACGATAAATGGATTTCAATAACATCATGTTTACCAATGGAATGATTTAGCGAAGGTAACATGAAAATATCAATTTATTTTTTTCAATGCTTATCATTGTAATATATTGAATTGTTGTTGAATTGTTATATTGAATTGTTATTGTTGAATTGTTAGATTACGCAGAGACCTCATTTACCACGAAGATTTTACGATAATTACAATTTCCTTGCCGGCGAACTCTTAAGCCTTCGCAGCCCAAATTATGCTATCGCTCTCCGACACCAGAGAACAGTCAAATTCCTTACCCCCGATTCATACGCGTCAAACCAAAGTTTTCTAAACGTGTAGCATGTATATCTTTACGCTTATGCTATACGAGAGTACGAGATCGAGTGAGTATGTATGTACACATAAGTATACAAAAGTACAAGATCGACTGAGTATTCATCTTTTCTTTGAAAAAGAAAGATTTGTTTTCTCGATTACGTCAAAATTTAACAAATACAATTACAAGGATGTCCACTACCGTCTAGATGAAACGTAACGACTGCCAACATTATTTTACAATGCTCCTCAAGCGAAGTGTCATCATGGTAGTAAGTTATTAGAAAATTACACTTTCCACATCTCCTTAAAATTACCCTTTGCATGACTGGTGAGGCGCACTCTGTTTCGAAACTAAAAAGTTTCAAGGATAGGCTCTTTTTTCTGACTTGCTTTATCGCGCTGACGCCGCCGTATGAAATGGTCCTGAACTCCAGAACCATTTCATGCTATCCATGAAAGCAAAATTCCAACATTGACGGCGACGTCAAGGATGATGTACCACCTCACGGTGAATGCCAAAGGAAAGTCTTGTGTTCCCAACGTGTTATCATGGAGAGCGTGCTTAGCCTTCGAGAACATTGCATCGTTCAGTGCCGCGGCTTCGAACAGCTTTGGCATTTAGTGCCGATGTCACGTTTTTACAGCACGCCTTCATAAAGTTTGCAGCCAATGTACACTTGTGGAGACATTTCTTAAAATTTATTGCCTTCACAATTGATGTAAATTTTATTTGAACGCATTCTTATTCTATTTTTAACGTTCTGAATTTCACCAAAGTCATGCGAATTCAAAGAATATTAATTTAATTAAATTAATGGAGGAATACAATTATCACATCAGAGTTTCTGTGAAATGACCACTTCAAAATACCCATAATATGCCAACCATATTATTTTGTGTTGAAGCTTAAACGTCTTCATCTGTTGATTCTATATAACGACGAAAAGTAGAATCATCTTTGAGGGAGGGGGAAGGTGACTCTAGTGGGAATCAGAACGATGAGTTATTTACACTTCTTTCCGGCGCAACCTCGGTGTAAGAAAATTTATCTTGGGCTTTCAGAGAAAGTAGATATTTTAGTGAGAATAGCGATAAACTGAGCAGGCGACTTTTAGCCATAAAAACATTCAAAGGACGTGGTTTAGGCTCTTCTTAGTGTCAACCAGAAAGTAATTGTAATTGCTTCAAATGTTGTTTAAAAAACATCATTTCATTGGTGACACTATTTAGGAGAGTTCATTCTAAATTAAAACCGTTTATTCTTCGTATATTCCCCTCACCAGAAAGGAAGGGCCTCCCACACTGTAAAAGCATTTTAACGGAGGGGGACTTGCCGACACGCTAGTTCTGAAAAATTTAGTACAATCTGCGTAGACCTTGAAACACAACACAAAACTTTAAGCAATTAACGAATTTCTCTACTCACAAGAAGTAATTCGGAGAAGAGGCAAATTAAATAATCATCGCATCATATGTCATTGATGTCGCGTTTGGACAGAATTTACAGCCAATCGTAAACCGTTCGGGATGAATGTAAGGAAAACTCGCAAAGCATAGAAGCTCCCACAGACGACGTAAGTGGTATAAGATCAAAGGTGGATTAATGTATGAAAAGACTACGTACGTTCGTTTGTACCTACCTACGTATGTACTGATATTCGCTTCCTGTTGGGGCCCCAATATGTTTTTAATACATTTAATATTAATTAATAAATATTTAAAGGATTAAGTATATTAATCGTAAAATCCTATAATGTTTTTTCATATTAATTTTGCACTCAAAAGTTCAATATTTCAATATTATCGAAACGTCTCGAGTTTAGAATCTCTTCTGGGCTCCATGCTAATCCAAGATCTTGAGTGAGTAAGCATATGTTGATGCTGCATCAATTTCTTAGATCAGTCTCGTAAGTGCAGAGCACTTTGCATCCCGGGAGGTTACCGTGTTCTTCCCTCTCTAGAACGTGATATTCCGCTCCGACTTACACGTTGGATTGTGGATTTCCCCTCTCAGGGTATCACCCCCCAGCGGGGCACCGCCCCAGCCGGGACAAGCTCTAAGCTCCCGACGCGTTTACTGCGTAAGATATTTGCATGCCCCGTCGATAGTCGCCTTTTTTTTTGTTGTAATGTGCAAAATAATTGTAAGGACGAGCGCGTGTTACAATTGAGATTAAAACTTTCGCGTTCACTTGCACAGGTGGACGGTGCCATCAACCAGGCGTCGGTGGCTGTGGACCAGAAGATGAAGGAGGCGGACCAGTTCATCGACCAGAAGAGGGATCAAGTGCACACTGCGGTGAAGACGGCGTCAGACAAGGCGCACGAGACGACCGACTCCGCCTCCGGCTCCCTCCTGGGCAAAGCCAAAGGCATCCTGCCTTGTAAGTGGCGTTACATCGGAGTTCCTTTAACTTCATTACCTTTGTTTACAATGATGTGACTGTAGCGTGCGTGGTTAAGAGACGTGGAGGTTCCCCGGCCATGTATGTATAGATTTTGGAGGAAAGGAAAGAAACATACAGAAATAAGAATCCTACAACTTTGCAATTAAACAGATAAAACTATTCTTCCCATGTTATATAATTCACATGTAGTCGTGAGCGAGGAAGCGAGCGAGGAAGCGAGCGAGGAAGCGAGCGAGGGAGCGAGCGAGGAAGCGAGCGAGTGAGGGGGTGAGGAAGCGAGTGAGGGAGTGCGTTTGATAAGTGTGTGTGTGTGTGTGTGTGTGTGTGTGTGTGTGTATGTCTGTGCTTGCTGATCATGCGTGTAAATTATGTGATGTGTATATATTACATATGATGGGGGAGTTCGTGTGCGAGAGGAGTGTGAGAATGTAAGTTCAAGACCACCTTAGGGGATGCCAGCGGGCTGCCCTAGCTCAACCGCGATTCCGCGAACGCCCAAGGCCGGTTCGGTAAATAGGGCTGAAATCATCCCCCTGTCCACCTTACGGAAAGTGCAGGAGATTATCTGCAGAGATATTTCAGTGTAGCACCTGTAACGTCCAGTGAATATTCTATTTCATTCTATAACACTGTTTTCATTATCATATCAATCGTATTATAAACAGTTTGAAAATCTAAGTACTCGACTCACTTATACTGTTCTTTCTCAAATCATCTCAGATGTCAATGGCTATTATTTAACAAACCACTTTAATCGTTGCATCTTCCTTTACATATTAGATCAATTTAGCAGGTGGGCGAGGTAGCCATTTGACCTCCAGTTCTGATATCACTGACGAGAAATATTAAGCAACAGCCTCTTTTTTTTCTAATTACGTTGACAGTTGCTAGTCCATCGCTTGCAGATCTTTCAGCCATGAGCCGTCTCAAAGTAATTGCTAAGCGATGTGCGCGTCCTCAACCCGCAGGAATGCTGTCAAGGTGCCCTCTGTTGGGTGGGAAAAGCGGTGACTAGATCCAAGGTGAAGCATCAAGTGTTCAGAAGCCATCCCCTATTTACGTCACTGCGACCTCGATTATGTAAGGGAACACTATGCATCATTAAGGCATATAATTGCTATTCGTGAGAAAGAACATTTAAAGTGTTTTTTAATTCATCGATATTACAAATTCTAAATAAATATTTATGGGAACACACGTATCGAGCAAATAAGTGATAAAATGAAGTCCTCAACTGTAATTAATGTCAGCGTAATTATGTTCCTATCATTGGTGGAAATTTTACGGTTATAACATTTATATATTTAGTTTCAATCATTTCTCTGGACAATTATATCAATGGAAAGGTTAATAAAGTTTCTAAATTTATTAACTGAAGTTGTTCAACATTTTAATAAAATTTACTACAAACACATGATTCTATTTAGAATGATCTAATGCACAATGTTTTTATTGGCTCCAGATTAAGATTAAAAGGTGTTAAAATAAGATGAACACGATCTCATATCAATAATGAAAATGTGTTTTATTTCATTTTTTAAAATAATGTAATTATTTGTTGCTTGTTTTGTTGCAGTCTAAATGGCTGGGCACGTGATGCAGGCTGTCACGGCCTCTGCCTGTCCGCCCGCCCACTCGCCTGCCTGCGCTGCGCGCTCTCTCTCGCATTGTTTCCGAACTAACACGCCATGTTCTCGTGGCGAAGGTGCGTCATCACTGCTACATTGCGTGAAAACCTGCTCCAATTTCTCTGGTTGCTAATAAGATGAGACATTCTACCCTCTCTGTGTTCGCACTCGTGCTCTGCACTGACCCCAGTGCGTAAAGCAGTGTTCATTTGTTTCAACTGACACAAGAACCGATGTAAAATGTTTCTAAAAATGGAATTGTGTCAGTAACATTAACTCGGTCTTAAATGTATTTTTCGCGTGAGGCAGGGGCAATATGTCGGTACTGTCACTCATCTGCGTATCTGTCTCTGTCGATTTTGTTTTCTCCTTCATGAGAACATTTTTTTCTGGCTAAATGTTTACGGCATTCTTTGGAATTTCTGTCTTATGTATCGTTCAACAAAATGAGAAGTAATTACAGTATTTTGAGTTATTTATTTATAAACAAAGAGCTAAACAAACAAATTACATTGGAGTGGTAAGAAATGGAATTGAAAAATATTGCCCGAGGAGCAGGTATTCATATTACCCTTTACCTTTAAAGTATAACATATTACCTAATATGACAATGTAATAGAAGCATTGGCGACACCTTCGCCTCCTGCATCAGCATCGTGTTCACTAGCCAGCTTTGAAACAAGTTCTGTCTACACATGTACGTTTAAGTTTTGTAAATTAGTAGAATGTTAGTTCGTATTTTTCATAGTGGCAGAACTCAGAGGGGTTGGAAAATGTGTTATTTAAAATGTGCCTAAGATTCTCAAGAGGAAAGGTTTTCTGTTAGAATAATTTAGTGCACTCATGTATCCAATGTGTGTGCACAGTGCTCAGTGAATTATTTGAGAAATATGAAGCATTTATTGCAGCTGAGAAAATGGTACTCAGTATATTTTGCCTTGCCTGTTGTTGCAAACATATTTGCCTAATTTCATAATCCTAAATTAAATATTTTTATGTGAGTCTTGAAAAGCATTTAAACGAAAAAGTATATTATATTTTCGCTAGCCTTACAGTGTAAAGAAATTAGCTACAGTATTGATTTAATAAACTGCAGGCAGTGTTAGCAGATTTGGATGTTAAAATTTTAAATGTCATTATGTAAGTCAATAAATGTGAAAATTAAGAAAATGATTTCAAGAGTTTTCATTTATTTTTATACCTTCTAAACTGGTTGTGCATTTTATGTAAATCTGCTTTATTTGTTTAGCTAATTCATTTTTTCTTTCATTGAGCCAGATTACTCATTCATCCATACATGCATACATGCATACATGCATACATGCATACATGCATACATGCATACATGCATATATACATCTTTTTATCCATCCATTCAAATTAGAATCTTCAAAAATTCGTTCTTTCATTCAATTAAATGGTAACTAGATATTTTCAAATATCTCATTATTTTAGCATAGAAATTATTTAAAATTATATGTTTATAAATTTAAATAAATGTATACATTTATTTCCAAAGTGACGTATCTCAATTTCCGTTTGTTTTCTAGTTTTACACATAAATATATTTTTAACATGCCTCATATATTGCCTTAAGGGAGTCTTAGAAATTTATTGAGAAAGTGTGGACAGATAAAACCAAATGAAGATAATGGTTTTGAGTGTTTAAAAGACACAATATCCTCATTGCTAGAAAGTAGAAACTTTACAAATCTTGCGATTATCACGCAAAATTGCCATGCCTCGCCACCGGGTTCGCTACTTATAGACAATACATTTTTTTAAAAACATTATTTAGAAGAACTATCTGCACTGAAAACATTAAGATTATATTTTACTTGAAATATTATATTTATCATTAGCAGAGGTTATATCCGCCAATGAAACCGCATAGTATCTGTTTAGCCCTCCAGCAGGTGCTTCATTGGTATTCGCAAGAATAGGTGCGTGAATCTCGCGGTGTTCACTTTAGTGATAGTTTTAAATGAAATCGTTTTAAAGGGGGTTAAATATGTAATACTTTATTAAATTTAAAAATATAATTTTTAATTGAGTATATTTTAAAAAAAAGAATCAATCCGGAAATTTTATTGAAAAAACTAGAATTAAGTAATAAAAGAAGAGACAAATAATGGAAGTACATGATCTAAGAAGTAAAACGATAGTGATGGAAAAAAAACTTATATGAAAAAAAAAACAGATATGGACAACTTTTTGTGAAAATGAGATTTTCACACACACACACACACACACACACACACACACACACATTAAGCCCTTCCTGCCCTCTTATCATGAGACATTGTCATTTTCGACAATATGTTCTTAATCCTTCCAGGAAATGCCTTTGAAATTTTAATTTCTACACTCCGAATGCAAGAACCAGATAATGACCGGTGTTATCCACTTCTTGCACTCAGACCTGAGCAAGATGACTCTTTGTAATTAGAAGTTCAATGAAGAATACAGAGGTACAGTAAGCAATTTGAATCATATTTTGATAAAAACTGGTTTGTAAATTAATATATTTATTGTAAGATATGTATAATACCTACCACATAAAACACACTTGTTTATGTCATTTTATAAATACACTTTTAACTAGTTTTAGGTATATATAGTTTAAAGTCTCCAACAAAAGATGACAAACACAAAATGAAGAACAATGGGAAAGAAACACACGAAAAAGGAAAATCACTGTGAAATATTTATATTTTAATGGCCCAATTTTTAAGCTCTCGTTCTGCATAAAGAAAATTTCAAGTATATCACCACTTTCCTAAACGTGAACATCCATTTATAACCTGTGATCGGACCTTTGCTCAAATCCATAAAATCAATAGAAAGGAATATACCTATGTCCCAGAAGAATGTTTTGACAAGGCAGCATCATATGCTGAGAGCACGCTCTGAAGAAGGCCACAATACGCTGGCCGAAATGTTAGCCACCATGTTAATGACGCGGCTCGTCCCGGGTAGCCTAGATAACACAAACTCCGGCCGCAGAAGCCTACGCAACCAGCATCAAGTCGGAAATTTTGTTATTAGAGTGAACCAGTATATTACATTACGAATGCCACCTACATCATTCTTCAAGGTCATCAAGAATGTAACCGGGTCTCAAAATTAACAGATATCGAAACTTAATTGATGAAGGAATAGATGTGGCTATTTCTGCAAATCATAGTGGTATTATCAGCACTAAATTTTGACATTAGTTTGAATGCACATAAAGCAAACTCTGCGGCACTTCCTTTGTATTAACAAAAGTACAATAATGCTATGAAACTGTCGCAAATAGTTTGTTCCGCCGTTGGCCATTGACAATTACAAAAGTCTACTCTCGAAAGGCTACAAAAACCTAAAAGAGGAAACTGAAACAGACACAGACGTTTCGTACAATGACTAACATTTCGTTTGTGTTTAAAATTAATATGTTCAGAAATTTCTTCAATAAAGTTAATTCCTCGCATATTACAACTTTCAAGCTGAAGATTTGTATGTCTTTTTCAATAAAAAACAACGAAAAACCATTTATATCCAATTATTCTTGTTTGAACCCATTGTAAGGATTTTGAGTTCATCCAAAACATATTTATCTAATTATTACCTATTTCTACTAAAGAAATTGCATTTTGAATTTGATGAAATGATCACATAGTTCTCCCCCTTCATCTCACACAAGCAAATGTGTGGCATTTCATGGTCGAAGTAATGTAAAATGTTCTTCTCATTTTTCTCGAAACTTTACTTTTGATTATTATCTGATATTTGCCTCAGGCCTTCAATTGTAGTTTAGGCTATCATTTATAGAATACTAACCGATTCCCCCACGTTGCCTGGGTATTTATTTATCAGAATCGTCTATTAAGCAGCCGTGGCCGCCCTGCCCCCACTTACGTTCGCCCCTCCAGCACCTTTCAGCTCTACCTGATTCCTCCCGCTCAAAGGCTCCGCTCAGCTTTTTACGCTGCTCTCATTACTTTTGCGATCGGCCTGCCTTTACGTCCCGCCTCTGCGATATTTCAGACCCCTGATTAAGACGAGTGAGTCTAATCCAAGCGCTGAAGAACTGACTTTGAAAATAAGGACTGTCTAGTGTTGACAAGAAATATTTGCTTCTTGCACTTTTAGGCTGCTCAGAACCTGTAGTTGGCCCCCCTGCTTAGGGTCCGTCCATAAAAGTTTTGGTCGTGATTATGTAATTTTGAGTTTTTTGAATTTTTCCTTCCCCCTAAACCCACTTATAACGCGCGCAACAATGTTTTGATTTTATTTGTGTTGTATATTAAAATTTCGATTTTTTCAATTTAAAAAAATCAGGGTTCTCATCCAACATGCGACCTACACCATACTCTTAAACGTTCTTCAGACAATTCAACAACAAAATTTCATCAACAACAAAAGAGCCGTTTTTGAGAAAAAAATTAACATAATGAAAAAATGCCTATATTTTACTCAAAATTACGCGCAAAATAATCATATTATCGAAAAATTGTGCATGACCTTATTTCAAAATCTATCCTTAATGAACATATTTTATTAAGGGGAAAAATCTATCTTTAATATTTTAGTTGAAAAAAATATGAATTTTGGCCATTTTCGAAAAATCAGCATTTTTAACGAACATGAGATCTGAACCATTCTCTTAAACGTTCTTTACACAATCCAACAACACAATTTAATTAAAAATCATAAACCCATTTTTTGAAAATTTTGAAAATGTCCCAGGGGTTTCGTGCAAAGTACCCCCAAAATTAAAACATCGATATCAAATTAAAAGGCCGCGACACCCGCCAGATCGATTGAGGAATATGAATTTTGGAGAAAATCGGCTGAACGGTTGAGCTAGCGTTGTTCGCAGACGGACATTTTGCCGTCAATCGACTTTTCAGTATGAAGAACTCACAAAACATAGATTCTGGTTACACCACATGTTAGAGTATTTTTTTCCAAATTTAGCAACTGGATTTATCCACATTTTCGTTACCTGGGCCTTGTAATGAGAGTTTTCTGCCGAAAATTCGCCATTTTTTCGCGCAGAATTATATAACCATCTCTCTACCATTACCGCGGTACACTAACCTACCGGCCCTCTTCTCCTACATGCAGTAGTACCCCTATGTAACGTAGCGTAACTCTGTCTTGAATCCCCTCAACCCGTTATTGGTATTACGTAATTTAACATCATATCTTCATAGTAGCGAAACGAAATCACTGTCAGTTTCCTTTGGCTTCCTAAGGAAGCAGAGACCTGGCCTCGCGCGTGAAATAAAACAATTCTTGGGGGCCATCCATAATTTCCGTAACTCAAATTGGGAGTATTTAGAATACCCCCTCCCCCTGTAACGCATCCGAAACGCGCGCTTTAACGACCCTAAATAATTACGTAACGCCTGCGAGAACCTTTGTTTACAATGCAAGAAGTCAAAATAAATTATAGCTCAATAAAAAAAATTGTATACATGTTATTTGTGTTGTATATTAAAATCTATGATAGTTTAAGTCGGAATTTGTTGTCGATGCTGACTTCACCTAACAATAAGATTGAGGGCAAGTTTTAATTGAAAAAAGGACGCACAGACGACAAAATTTCTGATCACAAGCCGTGCACACGCCGTCGTTGTGGATGACGCATGAGTGAGTATCTACTGCGCCAATTTATTTGAATTCTAGAAAATACTACAGATCATTTTTTAATATTTTCTTCGAAAACTACAGATTCCATAAAAAATATGATGAAAAAATATTTCCATTTATTGTAACAACTTCAAATAACTTTAAATTATTTAGAGTTTAAAACAAATTATTCTGATAATATTTTAATATAAGAACTAGAATTTATACTATCAGAGAAACATTTTTTGATATTTTCTCAGCACGAAATTCAAATGCATTTTTTAAAACAAAATAGCGAAAATAATTTTTACTCTCTTAAAACCTTGGAACAGGCTTGAAAAAATCTCAAAAGTTCTTCAAACACAAAACGTGATTTTTTCATATTTTTTGGAATGCTGAGCTGCAGTTCAAAAAATTAAAACAATTTTTACTTTTCTGTATACGTACATACAAAGTAATACGTAGTATAGGGAAAGTTATGTGTAATGCCGCGATTACCGAGAATTCAACGGAAATACACGTTTTGGGGGCCTCTGATACCGAAAAAGTGTTGTTTTTTTTTCAAAACGCCCGTCTGTCCGTCCATTTCTGAACGCTACTAGTGCTTACACCATACGTAAGATTTTTTCCAAATTGAAGAAACCCCTCTCCATCTCGCTCGAGTCGAAACATCGAGATTTCTCCTCCAGGAAATCGAGATGCACCGAATGGTATCTCATATGTCTCGATTGGTGCACGGGAAGTGGTCTAACCGTGAGTGATCACACACACACACACACACTCAGGCTCACACACAATTGCTCAAATACTGTATAGACCTTAAATTATTTCACAAAATACACAAAAAGTAAATCTTTTATATTATAAATTTGAAGACAGGCGAAATAAAATGTTAAAGTATATTTTTTAAAAATTGTCCCATCATTGAACCTTTGGACGGGCTTTGGGAGAGCCCTCCTTGCTCCCCCCCCTCCCCCAGACACAGTGGCTCTTCCTGTTTGCTTCCTCACACACTTGCCTACCCTGGGAATACTCTCTGACACATTTTTTGAGAATTAACATGTTGCCATCACCTGTGTTCTGAACGTGTGTCATGCCCTACCATCACCCTGTGCTCCAAATCTGCTCACATTTCTCTGATGGATAAGAGTAAAGATCCTCTTTTGCATATTCTTGTACTAATGCTTTGTAATGGCACAGTGCTCATGATCATAAAACAGTATCAATTCCATGCATCTGGATCAAAAAATATATTAAGTTTTAAAAAAATGGAATTGTGTTAATAATGTACACTCAACTTATATACTTTATATTATCTTTTATATTATAATCTCCTTATATCTTTTGAGATAAGCTGATTGAATCTAAAACCTACTTTATAAAAATTCCACACTGTTTCTATCGAGTCGAACTAACCCTTTTATATCAGTGGTTACTGTCTCTCATCTACGCAGATGTCAAATTACTTTCTGTTCAAGGAAAAATATTTTTTGACAGTATTGAAAAAGCTTCTAGTCAAAATATCTTTCTTGTATTATAAAAATGTAGAATGGTAGTTGGTTTTCTTTTTCCATTTTCCCTTCTTTTTACTTGATGGTGTCAGAACTTGTGAGATAAGAATTCTTTTATGGAAAGTATCTAAGGTTAGCAAATTATAAGAAAATAGTTTTCTGTTTCAATAAATTGATGTACACATTAGTAAACATATTAGTGTCCAATGCAAGAGCAGAAAGCTCCACAAACATTTGTTAAGAACTTATTACTGCTGGTCATCTTGTTCTATTTTGCTTTCTTGTCACAAAAGGACTTGCTTAATTTCTGAATTAACATTTTTATGCAAGCATTACATAGCATTTGAAAGAAGAAAAAAAAATGTTTTCTGTCATGAAGATGTAAAGAAAAAGCCCTTGTTTTAATAAACGGTAGGTAGTGTCAACAGATTTTAATGTCTTTGTGCAAGTCAACAAAACATTCTCAAAAATGAATTGCATGCATATTTGCTTTCCACCTATTTTAACATGATCTGTGCATGAGTGTCAGTGCTACGCCCCTCTCCCAAATTTTTGGTATATGGAGTGTATTGGAGAGGACTCACCAGTGATTTATATTTCATCTATTGAATCATGCCACCACCACCCCTATTTTGGTTCTGGTGATGCCCATGCTCCTGTGTATAAGGAAAGCCTTACTCTTTCAATACTCTTAGAAGATCGTTTTGATGTAGAAGACTTTACGAATCTTGAGAGTTGAGATAACAAATAGTACATACCAACTCAACAAAGGTTGGAGGTTGGAGGTTTTAATCCCACCCTTGGAATGGATATTTGGCCAATGTGTCTATAATGTGTGTTGTTATGGATGGCTTTGTGTTCTACTGATACCAGAAGCACACAGCTGTATGGTATTGGTATATATTGCCTGGTTTGAGATACACTCAACTGTTATGTTGATAATCACACTTTTTACTAGAAAATACACTAACAAAAGGGAAAATTTCAGTTCAGTCAATATAGTAAATAATAATAGTATTAATTATGCTGAATTATTAATATTTCAAAATGAAGTTCATTCACTTAAAATATTTACTCTTTGACTTTATAGCTTCTCATGAAAAAGCACGGGAAAAAGGAAGTTGTCATTTTCACAGAGTTTTCATGTTTCATAATATGTAGATTCAGTGTTCCAATAAATCAAATCTCTACTTTGTCTAATAATTTCTATGGAGAACTCAAATTTTCTGAGTTTAGGGTATTTTAACCCCTTAACTTACAATATCACTTACGCTTTTTGTATGTTTTCATTGTAGAAAGTTTACAAAGGGGCAAATGATTAATTTCTCTTCCATGTTCAGTAATATAAGAACCACAATGTAATTATTTTCTTACATAATAATAAAGAAATCCTACTTCTGCTCCTGATCATAAAAAAATAGTTTTTCATCGCACACATTTTAACAGGTAGTTATTCAAAAACTTTTCAGTACGTATTTATGATCTGATAGCAATCATTTAAGCAATGAGAAAATTGTCTGTTCAAGCATCTTCAAATAATATTGCCCCATTAATCTAGGAATCGTCTCTCAATTTACATCGTAACAATCATGAGTGAATTAATTAAACTTAGTCACCTGCAATTATTATTTGAAACAAAATTTTATTAATGATTTTGTGCAATATTTTATAAACCATAAACTTTTTAAATTGCTTAGATTATAATAGTTAATTTTGATTGATATGTTCAATTTTAAGAGGGGTCCCTTGTTCGTTAATACTTGGTGCTTGTTGACATATTAAATCCTGGTATCCAGTAGGTCTAATAAATGTATTTTAGAATAAGTAGATGCTAATGAAACAGAATAAAGACTAAAGCTGTGGTATTCCAAGGTAAATAAATGAGAAGAGTTAAAATAGTTAGAGATGTGAAAATAATAGCAGAAAATAGTAGCAAAGTTTATATATCTAGGAAACATCATTGAACAAAATTCAGAAGATCAAGAAAGACAAATTCAAAAATATAATGGGGTAAACGGAATAATCAAGAAAAACTTTGGAAGAGATATGACAACAGAAACGAAATTAAAAATATGTAAAATGACAACTAAGCCAATGTTAATGTATGGATCAGAAACATGGACCCTAAAATAAAGAGACTGTCAGAGATTGGAAGCCACACAAATGACGCTTTTACGGCACCTGGTAGTAACTACACAACTAGATCAACGAAGAAACACTGAAAGAAAAAAAAGAAAGAAAAACACACACACACACACACCTCAAAGCAAAAAATAGAGTGGATGTCATTAAAGAGAATCAGAGGAGATGTCTTTCGCATGCACAAAGAATGCAAGTAGAAAGATTTCCTAAAGTAGTTATAACGTATGAACCCATAGGGCAAAGATATATCGGAAGACCTAATAAAAGATGGATAGATCAGAAACATCTGGAGGAAGAATCCTCAGATCTATTGTCTTAAAAGGAAAAGGCACCAGACCCACTATCCTGCAGTGCATTGATGATGATGATGATGATGATGATGATGATGATAATGATGATGATGATGTCGTCAGAGTAGAGTTAATTAAACAGTATTTAACGTTTAACAGTATGTGACATTCAGCTTTTACTGGTTTTGAGATTTTATAAATAAGTACCATAATATTTAATATCACATTTATTTATAATATAAGAAAATAAATAGACACTTTATTCATAAAGTGGAGACTTCCTGCTGTCATATTTTCTTCCCTCTTATTATCTACATATTGCGGCATCCAGAAGGGGGGCAGCTGGGGCAATTTGCACCGGCCTCCAACTTATTGAGCCCCGAATTTTTGAAATTCAAAAGTAATGAAAAAATTAATTTTTTTATAAACAAAATTTAACCAATAAGTTGTTCCTAATGCATGAAGAAATTAATTCTGTTTATGAATTGGGAGAAAAGGGAATTTTTTGTAAATAAGGGGCTCCCAAGGATAAACTACCTCAGGCCCCAGATTTTTTTCTGGGTGCCCCTGACTGCAAAATATCTATCTATCTATTTAGTGTTTTTTTTTTATATGCTAATTTTCATATTTCAGGTATTTTACCTCCTTTTAAAATGCTATTGAATATTTCAGTAATTAATTCCAAACATACAATAGGATGTTTAACCAGTTCTATGGATATACCTTCAAGCCCAGGCGCTCAATTTTTTTTCATGTTTCATGTTTCATTAACATTTTTTTTAACTCTTTCAAAGTCGCATCTGGTGTGATCGAATTTACATGCAGTGGTTCACAATTTATTCCCTTAAAATTGTATTCCATTTTCTGTCAAAAGATTTTCATAGTATTTTTGCCATTTTTCTATACCAATTGGGTCTACTAAATGCCATTCTTGGGTTGTATTCAATTTCATGGAATGTAACATTTTCCATGCCTCTCTGGATTTGGTGTTACCAATGCACTTGTCTAATCTGTCACATTTTTGTTCCCAGAATACATTTTTGGCCTTCTTCACTTCTTTCTTGGCCAAATATTTCATTCTGTTATATTCATTTCTATCTTCTAAATCCTTTGTAGAAAGCCATCTCCAATAGAACTTTTTCTTTTCTTCAACCAGGTTCTTTATATCTTCTGTCCACTACAAGTCTTTTTGTTTATATTCACCTCTTCCGTTCTCTCCCAAAGCTTCTTTAGCGGCTTCACGAGAGCATTTTCTAAAAATTGTTATTTTTCTTCAGTATTTCCTATTGGGATGTATTTTAATTTTTCTGCCATGCGCAATTTGTATAAAAATGCAATGGAATCATCTTGAAGGCTTTCAATGTTGTATCTCGGCCACATCTGACTATTTTCCACCTTTTGTATTTGGTTTAGTGTTTCCGTAACATTTGAAGTACGGTTTCTACATAAGGTAAGCTTTTTCTTGTAGTAAGTAGTGATCTGATCCACAGGAAGCACCTCTGAACCCGAACATCGCTCCACTTTATTGATGATTGTTGTTTAGTAATTATGTAGTCAATTATTGATGGCAGTTTTCTAGTGGGCTGGGTCCACGTGAATTTATGAATTTCTTTATGTGGAAAGTAGCCATTCAATATTTTAAGGTCATACAGTTCACATGTATAAGTCTTTCTCCGTTGTCGTTTAATACATTTTCATCATATCGCCCCACAACATTATGCGCCATTCGCTTTCCAACTCTTCCATTAAAATCACCTAGAAGCACCACTTTGCGATTTCCAATAGAATCCAGCAGCATAATCAGTTTCTCTAAAAATGTACCTATTTCTGCAACACTTGCATCGTCTGTTGAAGCATAAATTTCTATAATAAAAACATTGCGTAATCTTAGTACAAGATCGAGACATGACTTTCTCTCATTAATTGCTTCCCATCTATGAATATTTTTCTCCAATCTTTTATGTACGGAGGCGCAGGGATGTACCGACCCCATCGCCCTGCATGCCCTTACCGATGGGTGGGGAATGAAGCAATTAGCCTGGTTTCTCCCACCTAAAAAGGAGTGGCTGACTGCTGTCCGTAACTGTAAGATATCCTTCTTACCTAAAATCCTTTCTTGAACCCCGGGAGCCAATGGGTGGATTGAGTAGCTCGGCTTCCGTTTTCTAACTTAGGTGTATCCTTACCATTCCCTTTTTCCTGTTTAGAAGCAGAAGTGCTTCAAATAGGGGTGGATTGAACTCCGGAGTCTTGGAAGACACTCAATCTAAGGGAAGAAAACCCTAAAAGAAAATTACCCGGTCCTCCTGGAACGGGGTTGAGACATTGGGCCAGCACCCTCATACTCGGAAAATAAAAAAAAGCCTCTCAAACTCTCAATGGAAATGAGCCTCGGATTAACTCACGACGTCGAAAAAGGCAAGGAAAACGGTCTATGAACTTTGGATGCTGGAATAATCAAGGTTTAAGCACTAAAGTAAATGAAGTTTTTAATGCAATAGAGAAGTTTAACATTGATATAATAGTGTTGAGTGAAACAAAAGAGAAGGGAAACGGAAATGAAAGGAAAGGAAATTATGTTCACTTTTTTAGTGGAGTGGGAAAAGAAAAGCGTGCAAGAACATGAGTGTCCATAGCTGCACATAAAATACTGCAAAATATAACATGTTAATATTCTTCTGACGGTACGGAGGCCTACTATTCAATCTTTTGAAGAAGCTTATTTTTTGAGATGATTTCTCTACCCCTTCTGGTTTGTATTGTATTTCCTCTAAAATGACTATTATAATGTGGTAATACATCAATGCAATTTCCCTTGTCCAAATGTTCACTGACAAATAGGCTATTTTGATTGGTAAAAAATGTTTTCAAAACATGAAGAAATAGAAGAAACAAGTATGACAAAGAAAAGAAATAGAATAAGGAACATGAATTAGAAGAATAGCAATAGAAGAAATTAACTATTTTTTTAAATGCCTCTCCAAATATTGATTTACTCAAATTGTTCTTCATCTTAGGTTTAAATTCATTTATCTACTTTCACTCATTCTCACAAATTAGGAAATTAAAAGAACACAATATTACATCTTCAAGCTACATCCTACTCTTTCATTGTCATTAAGAATGAATTAGGGAGGGAATTTCATGATTTTGCAAATTTTTGTCTGATACCTCAGAACATAGTTAAGTGAAATTTTTTGACATTTCGTAAGAATTGCATGCTAAGTATATTAATATATTAATATTTTTCCGTTTGATGAATATTCGTGTCATAATATGCACACATTTAGCATATTTCATTAAAATAGAGACTTAAAATAACGACTTAGATTTGTACTTCTAAAACGTTTCATCTTTTCATAGAATCTATTTATTTATGAGTGTACATTGCTTAAAAAGATCTTCACACAGTGTGCGTTTTTCTTTGCTTTAGGTAATGAAATATTTCTTCAAATTTAAGATATTTCTTGATATCATATTTTTTTAAATCAGAAGAAATTCAATAAGACATTGTATATACTTTCACTAAGGTGAATATTTACATCAGTTATTTCTCCTCTGAAGTGAGCTAGATTATATTATATCGGCACAAAGGTGTATCTTTCATTCCAAGAATATTTCTCCTTAATTTTATTAGGAAAGATTTATAAAGGAAATTAAATATTGTTAATTTTAATTGCTATTAATATGCGCGTTTCAGAAGTTTTAGGTCATATGAGCATATTTTAAAAACGATATTTCAAGATTGTTTGGGTACAAAAATCTTCTAAGTAATAATGATGAAGATATATTAAATTGGTCTAATTCTTCCATAACAAATTTGTATCAAAATACTTACTAATGATCGCATCCGTCTTATACTAACAAATAGAACTATCCCTATATATATATATATATATATATATATATATATATATATACACACACATATATATATATATATATATATATATATATATATATATATATATATATATATATATATATATACACACACATACATATATACATACATACATATCCTTGTCTCTTTCCCTCCTTCATTCCTTTCCTTAGGCGTTGCACAGACTTAATTTTTATTGAATATTTTCCACGTGCCCTATCGTCATAGAGTAGAGATATACTGTATATTATATTGTATCTCTCGTCTATGCCTATCGTTCGCGATGTTGCGTTGGTCGATCTGTTTAAAGGTAGAGAATCGATTCCTTCGCCGGGGAAGAGCCACAATCACAAAGGCCACAATTTATTTTCTTACCCCAGACAGACAAAAAAAAATACAAGTATTTGTCAAACATTTCAATTTAACGTAATTTCAACAGTTAATGCAACGTAGGAGGACAGAAGTAAACATTATAGCATTTTATTACCGAGGAGAGTTGGCGAGGGTGCAGGGTAACGGGCTTTGGGGCAGACTGTATGAGCATCGCTCACGTGTTCGTCACACGTGATCTGTCAAATTGGGTCACGTGGCGCAAGGGGGGGGTAAGGGAAAGCGGAAGAAACCACTCGCGAGCTGCCTGCCTTGTCACAGACGCCATTTCGTTTCTGAATGCCACTGAGTATCGCTCGCTGACATATTGCGCTGTCTAAAGTAGGTATGTATTGACGGGCAATGTAATTGGTTAAATTACATCCCAAATATTTTTTTAATGTAGTGAGTGTCGTGATAACTCCTATCATTTATCATCAGGGAGGCCAGACAATAGTGACACAGTATTTATTTTCCTGGCATCATGTTATTCACCGCCATTTTCTCAGAAATTTAACACTGTCGAGAGGAAAGTGAGAAAGTCTACAACATTGCCTATTCTGCAGAGAGAGTTTCGGTAGTTTTTGCAAAAATAACAATCGCGAAATGTACTAGATGCTCAATTAAGTTTATGTTAGCTGTGTATAAAATGGCATTATCTGAATACAAAATTACTGATCCGAAACTCCCGACAATTTACTGTTCCTTCACTGTTACATTGGCTCACGTTAGTTCAATGCATATTTTAATAATAGAAGATTGGCCATATCCCGCAGACTATTATTTTTTTAAAAAATATAAACCTTAAAACATTTTCATCATTTCAAATATATTTAATGAGAGCGGGATCTTTCTAGTTTCTGAACTCTTTCTCGGGAAATTTCTCGTTTCTGAACTCCTTTGTAGATCAGCTCCTGCTAAGACTAAGTTGTATTAATATTTCTTAGGTTGTTTTTCTTTACCTACTTTCCAGGATTTTGTTGTATTTGTGCAGTGCTTTAAAACAAGATTCTCACAAAATGGCGGCAGCAGCAGGTACGGGTGATGGCCCGTCAAATCAGGAACAAGCGGATTCAGTGGTAATGATTGCTTTTGATGACAGTTTCAATTAGCTATGCTTAGAATGCTTGTCAAAGAATTGTGTTCTAAATCACCGAGGAACAAATAACTTTTTTCTCTCAAAACAAAACATCAAGATTTCTAGTAAACGTTTTTGTTCTAAATTAACTTTGCATGAATTTCTATCACCCACAGTTGTTTGTGATATTTTGGTAAACATCGAAAGAAAAGTGAAAAGAAGCTAAAAAAGCATGCTACCAGTTTACTTAGCTAAACTTATAATTCTGTGTAATGTCATTTCGTTAGAACACCTTATTTCAGTGGTCAGCAGAAATCTGTGACCATTCTTGCATTCCAATGACCCCAATACCTCTGTCATGACGGACATTTGCTAATGAATTCCCCACATTTGTTACTGATCACACCCAAATTTTCCTGGACGTGTAGGAAAGAGTCCAACGAATGAACTTTGAATGATCCTATACTGCGATTTATTTGCAGCTGCTTCATGACCTAACGGGTCTTCAGCTATTACGATGGCATTCAATCGGGAGCTTATTCGTCATTAGTGACGTCACTATGGTGACGTATCACCTTCCAATTTGATGACACTGTAACAGCTGATTTATGTCAGAGGAAGCTAAAATAAATCCAAGTATATATGGTTGTAATAATTTATCCACAATTACGTTTTTAAGGCTTTAGGGTTCTATTAAAATTCTGCATTTTTCAACTATCTCAATACTGCAGTTTTATCACAGCTTGATGTCTTGGAACATTTCAACTGTAATCAATGATTTTATTTGAAAACCTGCAAACATTCTTTCCTTAATTTCATCAACACTTATATGAGAAAATTTTCTTTCATACATTGAAATCCAGAACCATTTTTTAATATCTTTAACAATATTTTTCAAGTCTTCTTGCTTATCACGTTCTACTTTATGCTTCCTCTTCCAATTCATCTCTTGCAGTTAAACAGGTTTAAAGTTGTGAAAGAGATGCTTCTTCTCTCTGTGGGACTCAGGCCATACAGTAGATGGCAAATTTGAGTAGTATTTTACTGTTTGGATTTTATATTTATTCCTTTTATCTTAATAATATGGAAATATTGTCATTATCACAAATTCCATTTTGCATTAATCTTGACCCTTTATAAGAACTGCCTAGTACGTTGTCAGCAGCATTCGTAAGCAATTGACAGCACTTGATATTGTTATCACAAAAAATCTGTGGGTGATGGAAAATTTATTAGATTTTTGAAATTATTATAACAATTTACTTCAGGATCACCAAAGTTACCAAAGAAAGTGAAAAACTTTGGATAGTATTTTAATAGCCTTAAATATTCAATTTTATTGTAAAAAAAAGATTTAATCATTATACTTTTTCATTTTCAAGAATACTTGATTATGTTTTAAATTCAACTACTGAATGATTATGTTTATTTACAATTAGTACATTTTTTGTTCCAAAGGAAGCAGGAGAGTTTTCCACACAAAAATGTATACAATCATTGAATCACGCATGTCAATGCCATGAAGCCAATTGCACTGTATCAGGTTGTATCCAGATGAAGCGTGTTATAGAGCATACAAAAATATGTGGTTGTAGAAACAGTGCTGATGGTTGTGAAATTTGTAAACAACTTATAGCACTTATGTGCCACCATGCTAAAGCATGTCAGGTAAGACATTTTAATTATTGAAATACAATCCAACTAATTTTCAAATATGTTCAACACATTCTTGACAATAACAGTTACATTTGTTTCACAAAGGAAACTAAGTGTACAGTGCCATTTTGCCTGAACACCAAACACAAATTGAAACAGCAGCAATTGCAACAGCGTTTCCAACAAGTTCGTCTTCTCCGTCAACAAATGGCTGCAATGAGCAACATATGGGCAGCTGCCCCTTCAGATGCTTGTTCCAAAAATTCAATTGATGGGGCTTAGATTTCAGGAAATACAATTCCTTCAAATATTATGAGAAGCCCTTCAAAAACAAGTGAAATGGGAAATAATGCATTTAGTTGGAAATATAGAACCCAATACTTTGGATGGAATCATTTTTGTTGAATTTTTTGCATTCTGTAAATGCTCTTTACTTTAAGATAAAGATATATTAGAAAGCTGTTGATGTACATCAATACATAATAACAAAGAATGAAAGGAATGTAGTACTAAGAATTAAATAAAATTCAATGAACTTTAAAGTTGGATATTTATTTCATGTGATATTGTTGATACCTTCCATATTTCCCATATAAACAATATTGTTTAAATGTAATAATTTGAATTTTAAGTTAATTTACCATTTCAGACAAATGAATAAATAGAGAGACTAAAGGGATCCAAATAATTATTTATGTATTATCAGATTTACGAATTATAATGAATTCCCTTGGAACACAATATGAAAGATGCTGCTCTAAGTGATGCTGCTCTAAATGTAAAATTTTGATCTATTGAAAAGGCAAATTGTTACCCCTATAAAATATTTTTGTAAATAAATAAGTGAGGTATAGGAAGTGTAGAGGATATTCTTGTTATGTATTTTTTTGTCTGGTTTTGTGTACGATATCAGCTGCATTAATAATTTGATTTCTAAATTCTGACCTCTAGGATTAAAAGTTAATTTACTATTTCAGATAAATGAATAAGTAGACTATGGGGATCCAAATAATACATATTATCATAATTATCAGATTAACTAATAACTAATTCCCTTGATATGCAGTATGAAAGATGCTGCTCTAAATGTAAAATGATAATGTATTGAAACGGCAAATTGTTACCCCAATAATATTTTAATAAATAAATAAATGAGGTATAGGATGTGTAGAGGGTATTCTTGTTATGTATGTATTTTTTGTCTAGTTCTGTGTAGGATATCAGTTGCAAGTTACATTAAAAATTTTGATTTCTAAATTTCCTCTAATTATGACCAAATTTCCTATTTCTTATGAAGTAAACCTTTAATTTAAACTATTCCTTGTCAAACCTTATATTCAATCATTTGAATATTAATTTTTTTTTGGGGGGGGGACCCTTCACGGTTTGGGCATGGACGTATTCTTCCATTGTTTGGGTGCTAGAGTTGAAGACAAATATGAAAGATGACTTTGACAAAATAGATTATTTAAAAAAAAAATAAAAAAAAACGCAGTTTTCATATTTCCTTCCAAAAATAGTGGTGCTACGTGAGCACATTGAAACTGATATGATACATACTCTGATACTAATTTAACACATAATTACACTAATTTAATTCGCAAAAATATGTATTTGCCTGGGGTGGAATTTGAACTTAAGCGCATAAACTCCGCGATCAATGTTCTTTAAAGTGACACTGCCAGTTCCGGCCAAGTACATCAACGCTCCGACGCATCAAAGGGAAGTTAAACTTACGCAACCAACGAAATTTCAGAGGTTTCGACAAAATGGAGAGTTGGCCACTTTGAAGGGTATTGAAACAAATTTCTTAAGAAGCGAATTAACCATGTTTGTCACAACTTGCTGTTAGAACGTCGTTACGTTCTCGAGTTACGGCGACGTCTTGGAAAGCTTGTGACGTCAAACTATCGGCGACGTTCCCGCTGTTGCGTGGATGATATGTTGTTTACCGCTACGACTAAAGCTTTCTGCTGAAATCTAATTCTGTAATACATCGATTTTGGATTTTTCGTTTGTTCCTCCGACAATTCCTTAGATCTTTGTTTACCAATTAACAATGTCTCTTCTTAAAAAAAATTCTGCTTGGCCAGTAGCCAGGTACGAGTATTGTTTGTAGATTGATATTATTTTTGATGTTTTATTTTACACATCAAGTATAAAATACAATAATTATAATCTTAGCACTTTGCATATTGTTCGTCACGAATAAATGCAAGGCATAATATATCTAATTTGAATAAGTTGCCACATTTGTTCTTTTACGATTAACACTAACGCGAGAATTGGCTGACCTTCTTTATTATAAAGTCTATTCATTTCTACAACTTGAAAGATTTTTCGATTTAAGTTCCGCGAGATTTTGTTCCTCAGAAAAGAATAGATGAACATCTTTTATTACAATAGATAATATTCTGGATAATGGGTCCGCGTAAGTATGGAAAGATTTGTTAGTATACAGTGATCTAATTAATAGTCTATAGTCGTTTTCCATTGGAATTTCAACCTTAGCAAACTTTAAACATAAAAAATGAACTTTTTAGGACGAATTTCGGTGAGATTATACACAAATAATAATGTTATACACAAAAATTGGAGGGATCGTTTTATTTCCTCTGTCTTTGAGATTTTCTAAGGCGCTGAAACTATTGCAAGTGAAAATTGAATATACTTCACTTAGATCGTGACTATTTTTTCGTCAGCTCATTTGAGTCACTGTTACTACGCTGTTTTTTGGACCTATGAACTGAAGGTGAAGAAAAATTCATGAATGTACTTGCCTGAGGAGTAGATGAACCTTCGCTTACTGTTGAATCAGAAAGAACATTTCCGTTGGAGGACGTTCCATTTTGTAGATAAAGTTCTGCACCTGTTGAGATGTATTGTCCATTTAGACGAGACTGCATGTTTTGCTGATATCCTAGTGATGATGTTTGCAGTAATGAGTAGACATAAGATCGTTTTGTAGGTCAGAATTCAATATGTTAATAGTTCCGATAAACACTAGCCTATGTCAGCGCATGAAGGCGGATCTGTAGTAATTTTGAACACCAATATTTATAACACTTTGCTGCACAAAGACACTTGTCACAAAAACACAGCGTAGTTACTAGTTTATACAGTCGCAGACAGAAGACAGAACAACACTTTGCACACGAAAGTCCGAACAGGGTCTGGTTTGGCCTCTCCGGTGCGAGCGATGACGTGTACTGATAACGAAGTGCTCGTCTCAGCCGTCGAACACTTGCTCTCCTTACCAACTACCCAATTACAACTACGTGACAACAGCACACCGATTGTGTAGGATTGAAGAATGCTGGGACTGAATCGCAATTTGTGTCTAAATTATGTAACAACGATCGAACGATTAATGTTATTCACACGTCTATCTGAATTCGCGTTTTAATGGTATTGGAATTCGCCAATAAAACTTGAATTCTAATGTACATTTCGGCCATTTATTTGACTTGCTTCAGGACAATAAAGTGACAATCGTAATTGAAATCGAGTGTAATTCTGGGCATACTAGTTGAAAATTACAAATGAAGGAGAGAATTCTACAGATATGCAACTTAACTCCAGGTATGGAATCCGCCCTCGCCACTTCAGTACTGAAACCGGTACGCCCCCCAGACCTTGTGAAGTCGAATATTAGCTCGAAAAGGCGTGTAAGGAATAGCTCTACTTTACTTTCATTTTACGTATTACTCCGCAATTTTACTTTTTTTATTATTTATTATGTTGTAGCCAGAGTATTCAACATCAAGTTTTGACAAACTTTTGTTTCCATATAATTGGTGGGTTGTTTCCATAAAATTGGTTTGTTTGGTCCCATATAATTGGGTTTCTTATCTAATTATTCTTACAAGAGTTTATTTTTGTAATTGTAGCTTAAGTTCCCTTGCCGGGCCGCGTGCATAGTAAATCACTCTACGAGATTGATCTGATTAAAACTCCTGTCAATAGCGCCGATGGTCACACGTTGCCGGGTTCGACAGTCCGTTTCTTCGCAGTGGCCCTCTCCCTGGTAGAGTACTTTCGAATCCCTTAGATAAGAGACTACCGCCTTTTGCTGTTTCGTTGGGGGGCTGCAGTATAAACTCGCTCAGCCGGTGGGTAAATGCCGGGGACGGGGTACGAAAGGTAGTTCACATTGGCTTCTCAGAGGTGCTCAACCAGTCACAGCGTTGCTGGCATGCATTTTCCTGAGCATTACCAGCTGGTTGCACCGGGCGAACCACTCAGCCCACTAGGGGCGAAATCCTAGCTGGGGAGGGGATAAAATAAATTTAAAAAAAGAGTTATCATGCGTCAGAAGTGTTAACAGTAAGTGTTCACACATTAATTATATGTGACAATTTCAACTCTAGTTGCACCCTTTTTCTGCTACTAGGGATCACAGACCTCAAGGCTTTGTCACGTGCCATGCTGAGTCATGCTGCGAGCTCGGGTATTATAGAACCCTGCAAAATTAATCGCACTTCCTTGACGTTTGCGTTTCATCCGATACACTATAATTTACAACACCTGACATTATTTTTAATTATTATATTACCCTTTCATTTTGATACACCACCTTACATTCTAAATGAGTGCTACATAACAATGCCTACAACAATTGAACTGCATAATATTGTGGTGTTGCGCCTCTCTACGTGGTCTCTTATGTGCTCTTTTACCTCCCTCTCTCTGCCACGCCTAAAGAAGAGACGATGGAGACTCAAAGGGGAACCTATAGAAAATTTTTATTTGCAAGAGTCCTGCGATCCACGCCTATACAGTAACGTGGGTAAAGCAATATTTTTGTTTTTTGGTAAACAATCATGGTCACACGGGATAATAATTTAAATATTTTCGATGTAGCAAAGCTCGTACCACCACAATACACTTTAATTAGAAACTTCTGCGACGATTAGCTTCACCTTTAGCGGTTATTCAGGTGTTAGAAATTGCCAGTCTTTTACGAGAAGAGATTAGCACCCATGAAATGTATCCTTACACAAACATAGTGAATAAATACTCAAATATTAATGAATGAATTATGACACGTTACATTACGTTATTAATGGCACGTTTTATTTTAAAGAAAAAAAAGGTCAGTGCAAAATTTATTTTTACTGTTAATTTTTTTGTTACGCGTTTTCAATCTTCGCAAATCCCCGCGCAACATCGGATATGCCAGCTAATAAATTGACAAAATTTACAATATTTTATTGTTATACGATGTGTAGAAATCTATATTTGTTGCAATTCAAACAATTATATGCTATAATTATTGCACAAGATTTTTCGAAGAAGCATACCATTTTGTTCTTATGAAAAGCAGAAGGTTATGAATTCATGAAATGTTAAGATAGAAAGAAAGAACGTGGTGGGGGTTGGAAAAACTTTTATTTATGTTTGCCATAGGCAACATTTTATAACGGCACTTACATTAAACCACAAGTAAATACTCAAGCATAATGAGAGAACAATCAAAAGTAGAATTTGTTCAAGAGGAAATGGTGCTGACCAACATTTCGATTTCTGACCCTTCAGAGAAATCTAGTTTGAAAAAATGAAACTAATATCACTAATT